TTTTAACTCCATATGAATTTTTGGAGAGTTTGTTCTAGGTCTTTGAAACATGCCGTTGGTATTTTAATGGGGATGGCATTGAATCTATAGATTGCGTTGGGTAGTATGGACATTTTAATGATGCTGACTCTACCAATCCGTGAACATGATATATTCTTCCATTTGTTTATGTCTTCCTCTATCTCTTTTTTCAGCATCCTGTAATTTTCTGAGTACAGGTCCTTTGCCTCCTTTGTTAAATTTATTCCTAGGTATCTTAATTTTTTTGTTGCAATGGTAAATGGGATTTTTTTTTAGTTTCTCTTCCTGTGAGTTCATTGTTGGTGTATAAAAAAAGCCATAGATTTCTGGGTGTTAATTTGTATCCTGCTACATTGCCAAATTTATTTGTTAGGTTTAGTAGTTTCTTGATGGAGTCTTTGGAGTTTTCTATGTACAATATCATGTCATCTGCGAATAATGACAATTTTACTTCTTTTCCAATTTGGATGCCTTTTATCTCTTCTTCTCTGATCGCAATGGCTAATACTTCCAGTACTATGTCGAACAGGAGTAGTGAAAGCGGGCATCCCTGTCTTGTTCCTGTTCTTAGGGGAAATGGTTTTAGTTTTCGCCCATTGAGTATGATGTTGCTGTGTGTTTGTCATATAAGACTTTTGTTATATTGAGGTATGATCCCTTTATTCCCACTTTGCTGAAAGTTTTTATCAAGAAAGGGTGCTGGATTTTGTCAAGTGCCTTTTCTGCATCAATTGATATGGTTATGTGATTTTTGTCTCTCAATTTATTTATGTGATGTATCAGGTTTATTGATTTGTGGATATTGTTCCAGCCTTGCATCCCTGGAATAAATCCCACTTGGTCATGGTGTATGATCTTTCTAATGTACCAGTAATGCTGGATCTGATTTGCTAAAATTTTGTTGAGGATTTTAGCATCTATCTTCATCGGGGCTATTGGCCTATAATTCTCTTTCTCTGTAGTGTCTTTATCTGGTTTTGGAATTAGCGTAATGCTGGCTTCATAGAAAGAACTAGGAAGTGTGCCTTCCTCTTGAATTTTTTGGTATAGTCTGAGTAGGAAAGGTTTTAGTTCTTCTTTGAATATTTGGTAAAACTCCCCTGTGAAGCCACTTGGCCCTGGGCTTTTGTTTGCTGGGAGTTTTTTGATGACTACTTCAATTTCCTCCTTAGTTATTAGCCTGTTGAGATTTTTTTATTCTTCTTGATTGAGTTTTAGAAGGTTGTATTTTTCTAGGAATATGTCCATTTCCTCTAGGTTGTTTAGTTTGTTGGAATAGAGTAGTTCATAGTATTTTTTTATAATCCTTTGTATTTCTGTAGGGTCTGTTGTTATTTCACCTCTTTCATTTCGGATTTTGTTTATTTGGGTCCTCTCTCTTTGTTTCTTGGTGAGCCTCGCTAGAGGTTCCTCTGTTTTGTTTATCCTTTCAACTCTTGGTTTCATTGATCTTGTATTGTGTGTTTTTTGTTGTTTTTTTTTGTGGGTTTTTTTGGTCTCTGTGTCATTTATTTCTGCTCTGATCTTTATTATCTCCTTCCTTCTGCTCACTCTGAACCTCTCTTGTTGCTCTCTTTCTAATTCTTTAAGTTGTAAAGTTAGATAATTTATTACCAGTTTTTCTTGTTTTTTGAGGTAGGCCTGTAATGCTATGAACTTCCTCTCAGGACTGCTTTCATTGTGTCCCATAGGTTTTGGATTGTTGTGTTTTCATTGTCATTCATTTCCAGGATGTTTTTAGTTTCTTTTTTGATCTATTTGGTAACCCAATCATTGTTTAATAACATGCTATTCAGCCTCCAAGTGTTTGAATTCTTTTGTGTGTGGTTTTTGTTTTTGTTTTTTGTAGTTGATTTCTAATATTATGCCATTGTGGTCTGAGAAGATGCTTGATATGATTTCAATCTTCTTGAATTTGGAAAGACTTTGCCTATGATCCAATATGTGGTCTATCTTTGAAAATGTCCCATGTACACTTAAGAAGCATGTATATTCTGTAGCTTTGGGTGAAATGTTCTGAAGATGTCAAGTCCTTCTAATCTAATGAGTCACTTAGGATTGCTGTTTCTTTACTGATTTTTTTGTCTAGAGAATTTATCTAGTGATGCCAGTGGGGTATTAAAGTCCCCTACTATGATTGTATCACTGTCGATCTCTCCCTTGTTACTTTCCAGAAGTTTTTTTATGGATTTGGGTGCTCCTGCATTGGGTGCATGTATATTTACCAGAGTTATATCCTCTTGTTGTATCAATCCCTTAAATGTTATGAAGTAGGCCTTTTGTTCTTTCCATTACCCTTTTATGTACATCTCTCTCTCTCTTTTTTTTTTTTAATATATTTTATTGATTTTTCACAGAGCGGAAGAGAGAGGGACAGAGAGCCAGAAACATCGACGAGAGAGAAACATCGATCAGCTGCCTCCCGCACACCTCCCACTGGGGATGTGCCGGCAACCAAGGCACATGCCCTTGACCGTAATCGAACCTGGGACCATTCAGTCCTCAGGCCGACGCTCTATCCACTGAGCCAAACCGGTTAGGGCCATCTCTCTTGATTGTATGTTTCTTCCCCTCCATTTACAAGCTTTATTATTGTCATCAAACAGAGAAGCTCCTTTTTACCGTAAGACTGTGTACCTAACCGTGCTGTGTTAAATTGGTCTGTAAGTGTTGTTTTTTGCCACATGAAAACATTGCCTGGTTTCTAGTTCATGACAGTCACATGGGAGGAAGCAGGGGGAGGGCAGTACTGTAGAGCTGTCAGATTGCCTTGCAATATTGCCTAAGCAGAGGTTGCCTGTGTTTATTTTCTTGATCAATTGGGCTTTATGACATATTATTTTTAAACCAAGCTTTTTTTAAAAATATATTTTTATTGATTTCAGAGAGGAAGGGAGAGGGAGAGAGAGATAGAAACGTCAGTGATTAGAAAGAATCATCGATAGAATCATCGATTGGCTGCCTCCTGCACACCCCATACTGGGTATCGAGCCCACAACCTGGGCACGTGCCACTGACTGGAATCGAACCTGGGACCCCTCAGTCCGCAGGCCGACGCCCCATCCACCACGCCAAACCGGCCAGGGCTAAACCAAGTTTTTAAAAAAGATTAAAACTAATTGTAAAAACATGTTACATGCAAATTACATTATTGATCTTCTGAGAAGTATGTGTTTTCTGTTGTTCTTTTGCTAAATAGAATGTTATTCATACAAATTGAGGATTTTAAAGAGATATTTTTTATAATTGTCTTGTGTGTTCTACAGATTGAAGAGGAAAAGAAAAGAGCTGCCCGAACAGACTACTGGCTACAGCCTGTACGTATTCAGTTGGAGTGTCTTAAGTCCTAAATGTAATTTCAAGTGAATGATTTAAGTAGTATTTGGTATAAATGACTGAATTTCTTAACTGTATATAAACTACATAGATAGATAAACTTCAGTAAGTTTTGTTTCTATTTGATCTTTAATTATTGGTTGCACCTGTATTGGAGCGTTACTTCATTGTTTATTAGGCTGGTAATGTTCCTTGAGTTTAATGCCAAACTTGTTTATGGCACCTTGAATTTAAGCCTGGAATTATTTTCCATTTTTGCCGTAAGACAAAAGATTGTAGTTTCAGAAATGGAATTAAATAGAATTGTAAATGCAAAAGTACTTATTTTCAACTTACATCTTATTGAACTTAGGATATCCATTTACGTACTTTATACAAAAATAAAAAGGTTTTAATTTTACAAGGAAAGACTTGTATTTTGTTGCTTACTTATTGCTTGATTAATGCTCTGTTTTGAACTTACTGAGATGTGGAGCTCCCATAAAACCTTCAGAGTGCCTTCGTTATTCTTAAAGAAGTTGGTTTGGTCAATAACAGGAGAGTGAAAAGTACTGTGCTATTTAGAGAATTTCTGATTTGAAAAATAAGAGTAGTAATAACCTCAGAGGTCAAGAAGTTCAAAGTTCTGATTCAAATCTTTATAGTCATTGTCTCACTAGCTTGGAAATAATTTAGCTTCCATGATTTACTTTATATTTGTATATAATGGGAAACATTTCTACCTTAGGATCACATGACAGATGATGAAATAAGTTATTTAATACAAAAATACTGTTAAATATAAAATACTTATTTTAGATAAATTATTTTAGTTAATTCTCATATAAGCCCTATAAGGTAATTATTGTTATTCCAATTTTGTAGGTGAGGAAACTGAGGCATAAAGTATTTGAGTAATTTCCTCAGGGTCATTTAGGAAGTGGTGAGCCAGGATTTTCCTGGCAATCTGATTCAGTGGGTTGTATTCTCAACTAGTAAATAGTACTGTTTCCTGGACAACTTTAGTCGCCCTGACTTTGTCTCTGAGTAGAATTTGGGTCAAGATTATTAGTAAAGGAAGGACCTGTAGGGAAGACACCATCCATAAATTATATTAGTTTCCCCTTTAAAGTAGCTAGCATTTGAACATTTATAAAAATGTAATCAAGAATTGTGATTAAATGCCCTTGCTGGTTTGGCTCAGTAGATAGAACATCAGCCTGTGGACTGAAGGTCCCAGGTCCAATTCCAGTTAAGGGCAAATGCCTGGGTTGTGGGCTCAATCCCCAGTGGGGGGCATGCAGGAGACAGCCAATCAATGATTCTCTCTCATCATTGATTCTTTCTATCCCTCTCCCTTTCTCTCTGAAATCAATAAAAATGTGTTGTTTTTTTAAAAAATTGTGATTAAAGCAGTAGTTAATTCTTAACCATGAGTGATTAAGAAAGTTTTTATCCTATGCTTACAGTACCTCCGTCTCTATAATAGCAAACATCAAAGAACAGTTTATTACATGTACTTGTCCTCTGAACACAGAAATTTAGGCTACACTAAGCCATGGGATTTCAAAATACACCTGATTCAGTACTGCCACCATCCAGTGTCCTGGTGTGAAATGCACATTTCACTAACCTCCCAGGTGAATCTTATATGTACCCTTGGTTATGAACCATTGTTTTAAAGGAAAAAGAAAACAAACTAAAAGAGAAAAGGCAAAACATTCCAAATTTTACTTAGTCTAAAAATTCTCTTCCTAATGACAAAACTTTATTTTTTTTAAAAAAATATATATATTTTATTGATTTTTCACAGAGAGGAAGGGAGAGAGAGAGAGAGTTAGAAACATCGATGAGAGAGAAACATCGATCAGCTGCCTCCTGCACATCTCCCAGTGGGATATGGCCGCAACCAAGGTACATGCCGTTGACCGGAATCGAACCTGGGACCTTTCAGTCTGCAGGCCGACGCTCTATCCACCGAGCCAAACCGGTTTCGGCAATGACAAAACTTTAAATTAAATTTTATTTTCTGTTGTTAATTTTCTCATATTGTAAATTATTGAGCTTTTCTACATAGTTCCTTTTACAGATGTTACATTAAAAATGAGAGTGACTCAGTGTGTTTCTTATTTTGAAAAGGGCATTATGTTTATTACAATAGCTAGCAGTCCACAGAGATAGATTAGAGGACTTCATTTTTTGAACTCAGAAAAGAAAGGTTTTGAACAGATCTATTGTGAGCAAGTGTCATTAAGTCCAGTGATGTAATGAACTGTCTTTAAATGAAGGCCTTAGAGAGATTTAGCCCAGAAGTCCTCTGGCTGAATCAGAGAAGCTGTTTTGATGCTTTTTGGTTTCATTTAGAAAGTCTTAGTAAAACAAAAGCTTAAGAATAAGACCCTTCAAGTCTTCTTTTTTTTTTTTTCTTCAAGTCTTCTCTTAAACATGTCTTCCTACTATTAAAGATCATCCCCCAAGGTCCTTACTGAATTTTTGTTCATACAGTTTTTGGTATGGTTTAGTGAAGTACTCATGACCATCTACAGGGGTGGGGAACGTCTGGCCTGCAGGCCATATAAGTCCTGAGAAATTACGTAAGGCCAAGGCATTACAAGTGAGTTAATTAAATGTTGACCAAATATAGAAGGCTAATTTTTAAGTTGATAATTTTGTATAGCCCTCGAATGATGTTATAAATATCCAATGGCCCTTCACAGAAAAAAGGCTCCCTGATCTAGTACCTCTGTTATTGTTAATTCAAATAGCAAATGTAGAATTACTGTAGTTCATATAGCAATAAGTTAGATGGTTTGATTTCCATTATCAGCTATTACACAGCTAATCCACATCAGGAAACAACAATGAAGAAGCAAACTCTGAACACATTAATATTAAATAAACCCAGATTTCTCTCACATTTGAGAATTAGACCGGTACTTTTAGCTGGAGCTAATGTTGGAGGAATCTCATCTGTATCAAAAATTGAAAGCAACATAATGAGAAAAGAACACTGTAGACAGTGTCATGTCCTGAGGATTCCCAGTGAGACTCTTGCCATCTGCATTTTTATCAGTAGTGAATACCACAGTATAACATCCTTAACACTTTTCACTTCCTTAAGTGGATAGAGAGAAAGAAGCTGTTTATGAAGGACATGAGTTAATAGAGTTGAGGTTTATAGATAAAAGTCCTAGATTTCAAGAAATCTTTACTATGGAAATCAGCCATTAGATATATATTTTTTCCTCTTGGTAGCTGTATTTAATAAAAAGAAAAAGAAGGAATGAAAGATTACTAAGGAAGTGCCATTGTTGGGAAGGCTTACAACTCCAAATTTTATTATTTAGCAGAGTAGTCACATTTTATGATGATTTTTGGTGAACACAGTTTAAAATGGAGGAGTAAAACAGAAAAATAATTTGTCTTTCCTTTTTTGTTATTTTTAGGAAATAATTGTGAAAATTATAACCAAAAGACTTGGAGAGAAATATCATAAGAAAAAGGGCATTGTTAAGGTAAGAACATGAAGTTAAAAATGAAATTTGTGAAAGGAGTTGTGGGTGACTGAGTAAATCCATTTTGATACGCCTTAAAAATCAATTCCTAGTAGCAGAAAGCAAATATCTAAGGTACTTGACGGTTCTATAAAAGGAAAGATGAATTCATAATCATTGAAGAAATAATTCATTTCAACCATTGTTTATACTTAATCTCTGTTTGCTTTCTTACTGGAGCAAATAGTATGTATCAGATCCCATTGGCACCTCTTAGATTCAGTGTGCACACCTTGCTAGTCAGTAAAATGCATTCTCTTTGATGATGATGGGCAATATAATTGTGCCCCCAGAGTTTCAAGGAGTCCTCTCGTGTGTTTTGCCCTAAGATAGTATCTTTTGACTGCTCTAGGATTTTAAAACTTAATAATCAACATTCCAGTCCTTTCTTCCCTTTTGTTTTTCCTAAATATAGCTCATTTCAGCACCCAGCCTGTGCATGCATAAATTGCCCTTCCACTGTCCTTGAAGCTAGGTGAAATTATCCCTCTCACTATATTTGTTAAAATCTTATTCTGAGATCACCAGTTTTTATTCTTTCCAGATGAAAACCTTAACGTAAGCTTTGAATTGAATTCTTTATTAAGAACCATAGACTAAGAAATAGTAAATGGTTTCTAGAAAATAGTGTTGTTTATAGAAGGAATTACTCTTTTGATTGGAATTTCATTTTTTATTTTATTTCTGTGGGTTTTTTTTTAATTTGTGTTCCACATATCTCTTCTATTATAAAAGTGTTGATTTTACATGACAGGAAGTAATTGACAAATATACAGCTGTTGTAAAGATGATTGACTCTGGAGACAAGCTGAAACTTGACCAGACTCATTTAGAAACAGTAATTCCAGCACCAGGTAAATCTTTTTGCAGACTATTTAATGCATATGCCATCAACATGAGTGATTCTCTTCATTAAACCAGTTTTTTTATATTACTTGATAGTTTTAGATACAAGTTTCCTTTTTAGAAATACTATATAACTGCTAACATATATAACTATATAACTGATTCTGTTTGACTTGGTGATATGGTTAGTTTTCCAGTTTTCTGAGAAAGCTTTTTGTATCATGAACAAGTTTTCCCTTCCTGGATTTTTTTTTCCCTCCAGAAGCAAAACACAGACATATCTAGAGAAATTCAATCATATTAGAGTTATCCTATATAATAAAAGAGGGATATGCTAATTAGCCTTGATATGCTAATTAGTCATGAACAGTATGGAAACTGACCATCACTGCAACACACAAGATGGCCAGCAGGGAAGGGCAGTTTAGGGGTGACCAGGCCTGCAGGGGAGGGAAGTTGGGGGGAACTAGGCCTGCAGGGGAGGGCCATTGTGGGGGACAAGGCCTGCAGGGGAGGGCAGTTGGGGGTGGCCAGGCCTACATTGGAGGGCAGTTTGCGAGGGGACCAGGCCTGCAGGGGAACAATTAGGCATTGATCAGGCTGGCAGGGGATCAGTTAGGGGATGATCAGGCTGGCAGGCAGAAGTAGTTAGGGGCAATGAGGTAGGTAGGCAGGTGAGTCGTTGGGAGCCAGCAGTCCTGGATTGTGAGAGAGATCCCAGATTGGAGAGGGTGCAGGCTGGGCAGAGAGACACCCCCCCAACCCCTCCCCAGTGCATGAATTTCATGCACCGGGCCTCTAGTCTATATATATAAAAGCCTAAGCGACTGAATAACTGAATGACTAAACGACCAGTCGCTGTGATGTGCACTGACTACCAGGGGGCAGATGCTCAATGCAGGAGTTGCCCCCTGGTGGTCAGTGTGCTCGCACAGCAGGAGCGACACTCAGCTGACCATTGGGCACCAGATGCAGGGCTCATGGCTGGTAAGCACTGCTGCAAGCCTCTTTAGATCCAGACTTACTGGGCATGAGCCTGTGGCAGGTGCAGCAGGGCCAGGATGAGCGGGGAACTGGGGGGGAACCCCACCAGTGCACAAATCCATGCATCAGGCCTCTACCACTGGCTCCTAACCACTCACCTGCCTGCCAGTCTGATCACCCCCTAACCGCTCCCCTGCCAGCCTGATTCTCACCTAGCTGCTCCCCTGCTGGCCTGATTGCCCTCCAACTGCCCTTCCCTGCCGCGACCTGCCTTCTCTGCACGAGGCGGCGGAGACTCCAGGACTGGCCTCCTCTGCACCGCAGAGCCACGGAACCCCCAGGTCTCACCGCACGGAGTGGCCACTGGGCCCCACCTCCACTGTGCGTGTGGCCATCTTTGACAACCATCTTGTGACGATATCGCGCATGAGGGCCACCTAGGCTTTTTTTTTTTTTAGGGTTTTCCACCTTTATTGTTGAAGGTATTACATATGCCCCTCCTCCCCCCTTGGCCCCTCAGCCCACCCTGCCTTCCCCACCGTTTCCCAAGTCCATGGCGGTGCCAAGTCCACCTAGGCTTTTATTAGTATAGATATATTCAGCTACCTGAAATAGTAAAGTAAAAGTTAGTATGATTTTGCTTTCTCTTTTCTTTAGTGATCTTTTGTTTTTTTTATTGTCTAAAGTTTTACATATGTCTCCTTCTTCCCCAATTGACACCCCCTTCCCTGCCATTCCACCCCACCACCCCAGTGTCTGTGTCCATTGGTTATGCTAATATGCATGCATACAAGTCCTTTTCTTTAATGATCTTGATCATTTGGGTACTAACACAGTGTCCAGTATTGATGCCGTTTGGTCAGGTTGTTTGCCTCTGATCCACTTTCTTCATAATGATATCATTGCTGGCGCAGTGATCATGTTAGTCTCCAAAACTTCACTGATCAGATCCTTTATTTAACTTTCCCTCTAAAATAAAAACTCATTTAATGGATTAAATGTTTTTTTTTCTAATAAACTGAACCTTTAGAAAGTATACAATTTGATAACTCTTAACATATGAATACTCTCATGAAACCATCCCTATAATCCAGATAATGAATGTTTTATCACCCCCCCTCCCCAATTTTTCTTTTTCCTTTATGATCTTCTCATTCCCTCCCACTCCTCTTGTCTCCCATCTCCCATCCCCTATCCCCCAGCAACCATCAGTCTGCTGTTGCTGCTGTTTATGTATGCATTCATCTGTTGATAGACATTTGGGTTATTTATAATTTTTGGTTATTACAAATAAAATGCTGTGAACGTTCACATACAAGTCTTTGTATGGACATATGATTGCTTTGGCTTAGTCACATCAGGCATATATTTTAACTTTAATGTAACTGCTAAGCCATCTTTAAAAAGAGATGAATTATCGCTTCTCGGCCTTTTGGCTAAGATCAAGTGTAGTATCTGTTCTTATCAGTTTAAAAAGAGATGAATTAAAGGAAACAAATTTTTTTGTGATTACTTATGGACTCTGAGCATTTCCTCCAAACACCGTATACACCATGCAATCTAAAATCAAAACATATTCCTTCAACAAATAAGTGGAAAAAATGAGGAGTCATAATGTGATAGTAATTAAAGTATCTAAAAACTATACTTTAGAATATTACAGAGTTCTTAAATGATTAAGAACTTCTAAGAGAATGGTTTTATTTTTCGTTATGCTCATTCAGTGTAATTGCATTTTGCTGTGACAAAAGTAGAAGAAAGAAGTGGACATTCTTTTTGCATTCAGTGTTATATTCGTTTCTGTTGTAGGAAAAAGAATTCTTGTTTTAAATGGAGGTTACAGAGGAAATGAAGGTACCTTAGAATCCATCAATGAGAAGACATTTTCAGCTACTATAGTCATTGAAACTGTAAGTATGTTTACGCAAAGACAGAAATTTCAAAATGCTTTAAAAATGTGTCATAGTTCTTTCTCATTGGATTGGTCTTTGTTTCATTTTAGAGTTTGGGTGTTTTGTTCGCCTTCTCTCCTGTTTAGAAATCTGTACGTTTATTTTCTCTATTGACTGTACCATTGCCAAAGCATTTCATTTTCTGATTCCCAAAGAAATGCCTATGTGTCTTAGTCCATTCTAGCTACTGTAACAAATACCACTGACTGGGTGAATTATAAACAACAGATATGTATTTCTCACAAGTCTAAGGGCTAGAAGTCCAAGACCAAGGCACTGGCCAATTTTGTTTCTGGTGAGGGCCTGCTTCCTTTTCATGTCTTTACATGATGGAAGGAATAAAAGAACTCTCTGGAGTCCCTTTATAGGGGTACTAATCCATTCACGGGGACTTCGCCCCCGTGATCTGAAAGGCCCCATCTCCAAACATCATTACATTGGGTATCAGGTTGCAACATAGGAAGTTTGGGTGGGACACATTCAGTCAATAGTAACACTCATATAAAACCTGAAAAATACAATTTAATATAAATAAAATTTTAAATTACTCATAATCACCCAACCAAATGATAATTCCCATTAATATTTTAATCTGTTCCTTTCCAGTCTTTATATTTTATAAAACTGTCTACATAATATGTACAATTTCATAATCTGACTTTTTTCTCTCACATCTACACTAATAAAAGACAAACATGCAAATTGACCGTGCCTTCACTACGCCTTAAGCCACACCCAGCAGCTAATCAGAGCGACTATATGCAAATTAACCCAACCAAGATGGCAGCCGGCAGCCACGGAGCTGAAGCGAGCAGGAGGCTTGATTTCTCCAGTGATGGAGGAAGCCAAGCTTCCCGCCTGCCGCTGCCAGCTCTTAACTCCACTCAAAACAACAAAGTTTCAATTATAGAAGATAAATAAACCCCAGATACCTGCTTTCAGTGTGCCATGGCCATGGAGCCGGAGCCTTGGGTTGCCCCTGGCAATGGAGGAAGCCAAGCTTCCCTCCCAACCGCCCTGGCCAGCTATGAGTTCTACTCCAGGCTACAAAGTTTCAATTATAGAAGATAAATAAATCCCAGATTTAAAAAAAAAAAAAAAAGAAAGAAAGAAAGGAGAGGCTGGGAGCTTCCGTTGTGGAGGGGCTTGGCCAGCCTGAAAACGGTCCTCAGCCTCTCACCCAGACTGGCCAGGCACCCCAGTGGGGGCCTCACACCCTAACCTAAAGGGGGTGTGGCCAGCCTGAAAACAGCCATCAGTCCCTCACCCAGGCTGGCCAAACCTGCATGGGGTGAGGATCCCTATTGGGGCTGGGGGCTTGACCAGTCTGCAAACAGCCATCAGCCCCTCACCCAGGCTGGCCAGGCACTCCAGCGGGACACCCTTCGGGGAAAACCATCCGGCCCCCACCCATGCACCAGGCCTCTGTACTATATAATAAAAGGAGAATATGCAAATTGACCCGACAGCTGCCAGTACAGCGCTAAGGATGTCCGACTGCAGCTTAGGCCTGCTCCCCCCTGGGGAGCGGGCCTATGCCAGCAGGTGGTCATCCCCCGAGGGGTCCCAGACTGCGAGAGGGCACAGGTCGGGCTGAGGGACCCCCCCCCCGAGTGCACAAATTTTTGTGCACTCTAGTCTAATATAAAATTCAATTTGGCATGGTGTAATTAGTGGGGAATGTGTAGTCATAATTAATGGGGGAAAAGTCACAGAGATAAATTTTTTTAAATGTCCTTTTATAAAGGATTTAAGGTATCAAAAATCAGTACAATAATTAATTTAAAGAAATTTGACATACAAAAATTGCTTATTGATTTAGAATTGATAGTTTAGTGATAGGTCTGTGCATGAGACAAAGGGAGACTTAAGTTGTCTGAAGGAGGAAAGATCTGAAACATGCTTTGTCCTAACTGGCTAATTCTTTTTAAAATCTGATCTATGTATTATATATCTTTATCTCCTTTTTTTCTCTAGTATAGCAAGTGTTAATATTTTAGGGGGATAATAAACCCCAGGTCTATTATCTGATAAAAGTTCTGAACTCCATCAACAATTGCATATAACTGCCAAATTTTGTTTGTTGTCTGAAGGAATTCATAGGCTCCTATCCCATCATTGACTGGCTAGAGCAGCCGTGGGCAAACTACGGCCCACGGGCCGGATACGGCCCGTTCGGCTGTTCTCTCCAGCCCACGGAGCCGAAAGAGCGAGGGTTCTCTTGCTCTCCCCTCCGCTCCTTCACCAGCAGCGGTGTTAACATGGCAACGTCGGGAAACACGGCCGCAGCTCCTTCTTCTGAGTCCAGTTTAAGAACCCATTGTGGCGCTCGAGTCAAAAAGTTTGCCCACCCTGGGCTAGAGAATATTTGTCTCAGGAATGTTTTCTGGAAAAAGCATCTCCTTATTTGAGAGAAATCACATTTTAAGTAGTTTAAGCGTTTTTTTTCTTGTTCCTGACAATACTAACCTAGAACCTGTCACTATGTTAAACTAGAGAGGTGGGGGAGGAAAAGGGAGTATGATCTTCCACTGAGGACTTTATCAGTCTTTTTAAGAGTAAGTTTTTCTCTCTGGCTCAATCAAGTATAAGGTTATGGGAAATCTTATATTTCCATGGCAGTTTAATCCTCTTCTACTTTTTAATTTCATAATACTACCCAATTTAGGTCCTGCTTCATGTTTTCATCTGAGGGAAACACAAAACAGCTAATTACCATGGAGGATATTCTAGGTTCCATCTGAATACCTTTGGTTTATAGTTTGTTTGATTTTTAAGAAGTACTTTCTTCCCTCCCTCACTTTAAACCCCCCAGTTTCACCTTCCTTTCTCATGCTTTAATTGCTTACAGAGCTGTACTGAGATAAAGCCTGTGAGGAAATCCATATAATAAAAAGCCTTTCTAGTTAATTGCAGAGCAGCACTTACTTTTGGAAGAGGAAAACCATTATAATAGGCCTATTATTACTTCCCTAGATAAAAGGCACAAAATGGTTTAGTCACTTGCTGAGGATGGGATTTGAACTTGAGCAGCTTGGGTCCAGAGTCCATATTCTTAGCTCCCAGGTTGTGACAGGTTTTATGACTGGTACTTTCATTATCTAGTTTTCCCCTTCCCTTTTACTAGTAGTTGGATATGAAGAGAAGATGAAAATATATAAACCTGTTTGAGTATCTGTATTGCTTAAAATAGTGATGTCTGCTATAAAATAAACCACCTTCAAATTGATAATGGAACCAATATTATAAAAGTTTTACTTTTCATTCTAAAAGTCCAAAATAGGTTTTCTTGATCATGGAACAGCTCTTTTCTGAAGGGTGATTTATGAGCCACAACCCTTCTAACTTGTGACTTTACTGTCTTCAGTAATTGGCTTTTTATAGTTGACTTTGCTTCAGGCAGACCAAGGAGAGCATTGGATTGCAGGTGAAAGGTAGCCTGGCCTGGGCCTGGAAATAGCAAGGCATCACTGCTGTTCACTTGCGTGGGCTGGAGCTCCACCTTATGGCCACACCTACGGGGAGCTAGGACATCTCCCTAACCAGGAGACAGATACGGAACAGCTAGCAGATGCTGCCACAGTATCTAGTGATAACATGTTTCAAATATCTTTGAAGAAAATTACAGTAATTTCTTAATGAGAATGCCATAGAATGTTTTAAAAGTTCATAGACATACAGAAATATTAGCTACTTTAATTGTATTTTAGGGAAATGGAAAAGGCAAATTTGTATTCCTTAGTGTAGTGTCATTGTCATGTCTTTTAAGTACATGTGTGTTTTTAACCTTTTCTTCAATTTTCATTTATAGGGCCCTTTAAAAGGACGCAGAGTTGAAGGAATTCAATATGAAGACATTTCTAAACTTGCTTGAGTTTGAAAATTTGTGAACATATTAAAATACTAAAGCATCAAATTGGTGTTCGCCAAGGCATTATGAGACTCTACTGTGTTAGGGTATTTCTTTTATATGCAACAAAGGATTTCTGTAAATATTATTGTATAGTTGTTTAGCTAAACTTGTAGGAAATCTAATTATGTCTTATGAAATATCAAACTATGTAAATTTGTTCTTATTTTTGTTTTCTTTATATTTCCCTGATTTTTAAAATTTGCATTAAAAGAATATTATTGTAAAATGTTTTATATAAGGCAATTTAAAATCATAATTAGAGGAAATTCTTCATATACTTTAAACTTATATTTTTAGTAGTAACATTGAACTATAAATATAATTACATTTTAAAAAGTCAAACTAAATATAGCTTTATTGAGATATCATTCATATACCATACGATATCACCCATTTAAAGTGTACAATTTCAGTGGTATTTAATATATTTATAGAGTTGTGCAACCATCACCACTATATAATTTTAGAACATTTTCATCACCCCCAAAAGAAATCCTGTACCCATTGTTACTCCCTATTCTCCCTCTTTTTCCAGCACCTGGCAGCCACGTCTACTTTCTGTTCCTAAGGATGTGCCTATTCTAGACATCCTATATAATAAAGAGCTAATATGTAAATGGTCATCACGCCCTCACGCCATAATGGCTCAGACACTCAACACTGGGGAGAGAGGGATGGGGACCAGCCAGGCACAAATGATCTCGCAAGAGGGAAATGGGGACCAGCCAGGCTGCGGCCCAGGAGAGACAAGCCACCCGCCCGCGGTCCCAGGTGCCAGCAGCTGGGGCTGAGGCCCGGGAGAGGGACAAGTTTCCCACCTCTTGGTCCTGGGTGCCAGCGGCTGCGCCTGTGCCTGTGGCCTGGGAGTGGGACAAGCCACATGCCCCACGGTCCCAGGCATCAGCGGCTGGGGCTGTGCCTGCAGCCCGGCCTGGGAGAGGGACAGGCCGCCCACCCCGCGGTCCCTGGCACCAATGGCTGCGCCTGTGCCTGCGGCCTGGGTGAAGCCACCCGCCCACAGTCCCCTGCGGTTGCAGCCGGCACGGGCAAAGCCAGCCTGGGTCCTGGGTGCCTGTGGCAGGCCAGAGGGAGGGAAGACCGGGTCCCAGGTGCCTGTGACCAGCAGGAGGAGGGAATCCTGGGTCCTGGGTGCGGGGCAAGGCAGAGGTGGTTAGGGCCAATCAGGCAGGCAGGAAAGCAGTTAGTAGCCAGCAGTCCTGGATTGCAAGAGGCAGTCGGACATCCCCGAGAGGTCCCAAATTGGAGAGGGTGTAAGCCGGGCTGAGGTAACCCCCACCCCCATGCACGAATTTTGTGCACTGGGCCTCTAGTTTCATATAAATAGAATCACACAAAATGTGGTATTTTATGACTGGCTTCTTTCACATAGCATAACGTTTATAAACTTAATTGATATTATGGCTTGTTTCAGTATTCCATGTATGGATATACCAAACTTTTTAAATACATTACCAGTTGGTGGACATTTCAGTTGTTTCTACTTTGGGGCTATTTTGAATAATGCTTCTATGTTTGTGTATAAGATGCCATGTGAATATTTCAGTTCCTAGGAACAGAGTTGCTGAGTAACATTGTAACTCGAGATACCATGTTTGACTTTTTTTAAAAAATATATTTTATTGATTTTTTACAGAGAGGAAGGGAGAGGGATAGAGAGTCAGAAACATCGATGAGAGAGAAGCACTGATCAGCTGCCTCCTGCACATCTCCTACTGGGGATGTGCCCGTAACCAAGGTACATGCCCTTGACCGGAATTGAACCTGGGACCCTTCAGTCCCCAGGCCGACGCTCTATCCACTGAGCCAAACCGGTTATGGCCCATGTTTGACGTTTTATGGAACTGCCACACTGTGTTCTAAAATGGCTGTACCATTTTACAATCCCACTGACAATGTTGAACTATACATTTTTAAATAAGTAGAACAGTATGTTATGTAGGGATGCAAAAGACTGAAAACCCACCTCACACTTTCTTATGTACAAAAAAAAAGGAAATTTATAGTTCACACAACTGAAAAGGAATAGACCCTCGCTTCACGTGCAGCGGGGACTCAGTGTGAACAGCCTTGTAAGGACTGGGTCCCACTGGGTCTTTGGACTCACTTCCGATTGGGTTAAGGCTAAAGAGAAGAAGCCACTTTTTATGATAGTAACTGATTCTTTGAAGCATGTAGAATGATTTGAATAAGACCAGTAAGTACTAAAATAACTCCTGATTCGTAGTTCATTTTTTTAAAAATATATTTTATTGATTTTTTACCGAGAGGAAAGGAGAAGGATAGAGAGAAACATCAAAGAGAGAGAACCATTGATCAGCTGCCTCCTGCACTCCCCCTACTGGGGATGTGCCCGCAACCAAGGTACTGCTCTTGACCGGAATCGAACCTGGGACCCTTCAGTCTGCAGGCCGACGCGCTATCCACTGAGCCAGACCGGTTAGAGCTCGTAGTTCACTTTTACCATACATTGAGGCACTCTTTAATTTCCCTTTTTGATTTGTTGCTTTGGATAGCCAGGTTCCCAACTCTCAGAAATCTAGTTTAAATCTCAGTATATTAAAAACACAAACAAATTTATGACAGGAATGATCTGAGCCAAGAGTCTGGTTTTCCTGGAACACAGACTTTCATTTTCCTAACAATAAGGCATATATATTTAATTGGTTTAATGGAAACTGTTTTGAATGATATTTAGGAGAAGCTTTGAAGACAGACTGCATAAATGATAAAGATGATTAATCTATCTGACAAATATGAGCCCTGTTATACCCCAGCTCTATACAAAATTCAATATTGATTATCAGTGGGTTGCAAGGTGCTCTACAAAATAAACATAATATAGGCAATTGTCAAGTTTTCCTTCATCACCGAAAGCATACTTTCAGAAATTAATCAAGAGATAGACAATTTTTTTAAAAAATATATTTCATTGACTCTTTATAGAGAGGAAGGGAGAGAGATAGAGAGCTAGAAACATCGATGAGAGAGAACCATCGATCAGCTGCCTCCTGCACATCTCCCACTGGGGATGTGCCTGCAACCCAGGCACATGCCCTTGACCGGAATCGAACCTGGGACCTTTCAGTCCACATGCCGACGCTCTATCCACTGAGCCAAACCGGTTTCGGCAAGAGATAGACAATTTTTTTTTAAAATTTCTTTATTGGTTAAGGTATTACAAATGTGTCCTCATCCCCCCATTAACTCCCAACCTCCCCCCCCACCCCACTTTGCCTCAGTGGATAGAGCGTCAGCCTGCAGAGACAATTTTTTTTTAAAATTTCTTTATTGGTTAAGGTATTACAAATGTGTCCTCATCCCCCCATTAACTCCCGACCTCCCCCCCCACCCCACTTTGCCTCAGTGGATAGAGCGTCAGCCTGCAGACTGAAAGGTCCCAGGTTCGATTCCGGTCAAGGGCATGTACCTGGGTTGCGGGCACATCCCCAGTAGGAGGTGTGCAGGAGGCAGCTAATGGATGTTTCTAACTCTGTATCCCTCTCCCTTCCTCTCTGTAAAAGATCAATAAAATATATTTTTTTTTAAAAAAAGAGAGACAGATAATTTAATAGCTCCTTTCTTTCCAATGATTCCCATTAATTTGGTTTCTTTGGAATTCAAAATTGATTATTCATCTGTAATTCAAAATTAATTATATAGAGAAGGCAGATTTCTGGTCTCAAGGGAAACACATGAACCATATTAATAAAGTTATTTTTACAGGCACTGAATTTCAAAACACCAGCTACTATTAGTTTTGATAATTTGAATAATATGGATTTGATTTTAAATCTAGTTGCTTTTGATAGCATTCTTGTTCAATATCTGCATATAAATATACACCCCAACATTTCATTATTTTAAAAACAACAGCACATTTAAGATACTAGGAATCAAAATTATCTAAAGGTAAAAGTTTTAAAGTAAAAATTTTTACCAAGTAACAATTATAAGAACCCACTTTTGAAGTCTGCATTGAATATTATCATTTTATTTTTTTTAAAATATATATTTTATTGATTTTTTACAGAGAGGAAGGGAGAGAGATAGTTAGAAACATCGATGAGAGAAACATCGATCAGCTGCCTCCTGCACATCTCCTACTGGGGATGTGCCCGCAACCCAGGTACATGCCCTTGACCAGAATCGAACCTGGGACCTTTCAGTCCCCAGGCTGACGCTCTATCCACTGAGCCAAACCGGTTTCGGCGAATATTATCATTTTAATATTAGCATTTTCAAATAGGAAATGGAAAAGATGTAGATTTTTTTAAAAAAGCATTTCATAGGTGACCAATTTTTATAGAATAAAACTAAAGGCAATGCCATTTATCTCCTTAGTACTGAGATTAGATTATAGAAATAATCATATTTGTTTAATACTTTACAGTTATGTCAAAAGATAATTGCTTTTTCAAATATAGGTTGGGTATTGTAGTTTTGTCAACATTCTACAATGAAAAATGATATCAAATTATGGAGAGAAAATTTCATAAAAATACTTTAAAAATTTTTTAATGTTTTTTTATCAATTTGGACTTTGAAAATGTGTGCATTTTAGGAATTGATTTTTTTTTAAATATATTTTATTGAATTTTTACAGAGAGGAAGGGAGAGGGATAGATAGTTAGAAACATCAATGAGAGAGAAACATCGATCAGCTGCCTCCTGCACATCTCCTACCGGGAATGTGCCCGCAACCCAGGTACGTGCCCCTGACCAGAATCGAACCTGGGACCGTTCAGTCCGCAAGCCGACGCTCTGTCCACTGAGCCAAACCGGTTTCGGCAGGAATTGATTTTTAAAAGAAAGTGATAAGCAAAGGAAAGCACAAAATTACAATGGGTAATACTTGCACTGTGTCACCAAAATCTGCTATACCACTGCAGTCACCTGATTTCACTTTAAATTTGTTTATTTTGCCTTATAAATGCCATTAGCCTTTTGTTAGGACATAATTTGCTAGTTAATTTATTTTGAAATAAACCTAACCATATAAGGTTTAAAATTAAATGACATTATTCTTAGGAATTGCTTAAGTACAAATAAAATCAAGGTCTGCAAGGAGCACTGCTACGGAAGGTTCAGTGTCAAGAATCTATTAAATTTGTGTGGAACTTGTTGCTTCACAGACAGAGGACCTTTCAGAGCATTTGGAACGGTGATTCTCACAGAAGTCATAGTAACATTAATACTGTGTACAATTAGCCATCTGAGATAATGTCCTGAGCAATTTTTTTTAAATTTTGTTTTATTGCTTAAAGTATTACAAAGAGTATTTTATATGCCTCCGTTTCCCCTCCCTCCCCCGTCCTTGTCCTGAGCAATTTTAAATGAATGAAGAATTTGAGATCAATGAAGTCTCCAAGGTGATCTCAGAATAATGTTAGGGAGGCAGGACTGTTATAGGATTTAATTTAATCAGAAGACACCTACCCAATCGTATTTTATCTTATTTGGAGAAGGGCTGGTTTAACAAAATGAGGCTGGTCAACTAAGGCCTTGTATGGCTTCTTTTATGTGTCAACTTAGGTGGGCCAAGGGGAGCCCAGAGGGTTGGTCAAACATTTTACTGGGTGTGTCTATGAGCATGTTTTGGATGAAATTTACATTTAAAAATGTAGACAGCCCTGGTCAGTGTGGCTCAGTCATTTGAGCATCAGCCTGTGCATCAAAGGGTCCTGGGTTCCATCCCTAGTCAAGCGCAGGTACCTGGCTTGTGGGTTTGATCCCCAGCCTTAGTTGGTGGTGTGTGTGAGAGGCAACAACTTGATGTCTCTTTCACATCAATGTTTCTCTCTCTCCCTCCTTCCCTTCCACTCTGGCTTTAAAAAAAACAAACAGTGGGAACACCCTAGTCCAGTGGTCGGCAAACTGCGGCTTGGCAAATAGTCTATTTGGCTCAGTTGATAGAGCGTCGGCTTATGGAATGAAGGGTCCTGGGTTTGATTCTGGTCAAGGGCACATGCCTGGGTTGCGGGCTTGGTCCTCAGTGGGGGCGATGCAAGAGGCAGCCAATCAATGATTCTCTCATTGATGTTTCTATCTTTCCCTCTCCCTTCCTCTCTGAAATCAATAAAAATAGAAAAAAAATCAATGGAAAAAATATTCTTAGGTGAGGATTTAAAAAAATAAAAATAAATAAAAGGTAGACTAATTAAAGCAGATTGCCCTCTTTAATGTGGTGGCCTCATCCAATCAGTGTAACAAAAACTGACTCTCCCCCCACTGACTGCCTTTGGACTTCGTCTACAACATTTATTGTCCTTGCCTAATGGCCTCTGAACCAGAATATCAGCTTTCACTGGGTCTCCTGCACCGCTGGCCTATCTTGCAGATTCTGGACTATCTGTCTTCATAATTATGTGAACCAATTCCTTATAATATATGTCACTTCCCCTGTTCTTATTCCATATTCACCATATAACCTCATAGCTGAATTTTTCACTTCACTGACAACATAAAAATGTAGTCAACCTGCAAAGTTGAGGATCTGACATTTAAGAACAATGAAATCCCAGTAAATACCAAATCTAGGGCTCTGCCTGGATGCCAGCTTGACTTGCCAAAGCAGCTTTCCTTGCATCGCTTTGATGAACTCACCTTAGCATCTGAAGACACAACAAAATCCTAAAGCTTCTTTGCAAAGCATTTATTTTCTTCAGATGTGTTAATATCTGGTTAGGTCTTAATATAATTCAAACTGAAGAATGAATGCAAAGGGCAGAGGAAAATGTATATACATTTAATTTCCAAAACTAAAAACCTTTAAGGCCATTGAAGGAAGCTATAGAGCTGAGGCACAAAGTAATCCTTGTAGTGTCCATCGATGAAACCCTTCCCACTGTTGTGCACAAACCAGCAGGGAACATCTGTTCCAAATACTCTATCTGTCCGGTAATCTTTCTGCAGGCCTCTGCAAGGAAAATGGTGTGATTGGTTAGGGCACAGACCAAAGCATGCCAGCTTGCGGATCTCCAAAGGAGACCCGCTCTCCCCCTTGCTGTTCTTTGTGCCCCTTCCACCACCATATTTGCCTGCCCTCACCCTTCCCCATTCCCCAAGTCATCTGAGTCTGGGCTGAGTTTTGGAAGGACAGAAACATTGAGTCCAGACATTAGATAATTCAAATATCCCTTACTGAGACTGACCAATATGGACTTTTCCAGCAAGGTAAAGAGTACAGATTAACTTAGAAACGGAAAGGAGGCGGGAACACAACTCTGAAGTGTGGGCTTCACCTCACACACTCAAGAAGAAGGCTCTAGCTTGAATATAAAAATATACATTCTCTAGCACAGTGGCATGTGGGTATTTATACAATTTCCTCTTTTGGTCAGCTTTTTCAATTATCCAGCTAGTGAGCGTGGGGCTTCTAATGTAGGAAGGTGAGAACAACAGATTAATTAATTTTGGCATTTCATGTACATATTTATGTATGTAGTCATCATTTTCATTTCAGATGGTGGAGCGGCAGTGTCCTTCTGCAAATGTTATGTATGTGCCTATTCCTGATGAGTTGCTTGGTGTGACAGGTAATGCTGTGTGAGTCCAATCCTAGTAGGAGCCCTATTTGTCACTGTCATATGCATCTGAGGCTTACCTTGTGACAACCAGCTTATGTCCTTTCACCTCCATGTTCGCCTCTGGCTTCTCGGGGTTCTTCCCAGGTCGTTCATTGAAGATGTGTATCTGTGGCTCATTCATGAACTGGCCTAGTGAAATAAAGTCCAGACAGTGATTTACATGTAACCCAAGAATAAATAAAAAGAAAGGCTGGTCATTTGATCCAAGCTACGACGTTGCTCTCCCTCCAGAATTTCTGGCGTAGAAAGACATACTCAGAGAAAAGGACACAGCGATGAGAAAAGGGGGAGATGTACAGTGACCATGCTGCTCAGCTCATGGTCACTTTACATATGAGGCTGATCTATTGGATCAGAAATAAAATCGAATGCCCTGATTGGGGTAGGGGGTGAAGGTCAGCACCTGAGAGCAGAGCTTATGTCACAAACACAGGTTTGTTTGTGGTGTCATGTGCTTATTTTGGAACCATTCTTTTAAAAGTAAACAAGTGGGTAGAGGAAGTACCCTGCTTGTCATCACAGACGTCCTAAGCCAGTTTGTTCCTCTTTAATTAGAAAAATTTTTTCAGCATAAAACTTAAGATTTATTTGCCCCATCTCTTATTTTGCCCAGTTCATGATGATGAAATCCCGGGTCTGGGGAAACCTTGTTTGGAAGGACAAAGGTCCTGGTGATAACATTACTGAGTCACCCTGCACCTCTATGTTGGGCTGATTGGATCATGTTTTTTTCTTTTCTATACATTAGGATGTTTGACATCTTAAAAATCGTGTCTGGCTGGGGAGAAACTGCCACCCCAGGGCTAGCCCATTCTGAAAGGCAGCAAAGGACTCCACCAGGAGCATGCTTTGGGTATACAACTAACCAACCCAGAGCCACATCTCTGCTACCGGGCCTGTATAACCCAGAAGAAATCATTCCAGGGCCAGATGCCCCGGAACTAGAGACAATTCTATAGCCCAAAAACCCACAGGAATTGTTCACAATAGCCAACTCTAATCTACCTTGCTCTGTCTTGTCTTTCCATGGAAACCCCTATGAAGGCTTTTGTGTGAACTTATCACTTGCTCCTGCTTCCCTGACCAAACCTGTCCTTCCTCCTGTGGCCCTGCATGGCCAGCTGTGCCTCATTTCTAGGAGAAACTGGGAGTAACAGTTAACGTTTCTTCCAATGGCAACGGCCTCTTTGTGCCATCACTCAGACACTGTTATAAATTAGGACCTGGGCATAGAACATACATACTGTGCTTTTCAGTCCACACCTGTCACTTCCCCAAGTTCTAATCACCATTTTCCAAAGATAATCAAGCCTTAGTGTGGTTCCACACTTGTCAGGTTGTTGATCAACACTTTACCTATTAGTCCATGTGCTTTAGGTGAAAACTTATTTGTGGAGGGAATGTAGATCCCCAAAAAGTCTACATTGATTGGATGCTTCTTCCAAACACGATGAAGTAACACAGAGAATGACATTTCCTTATCCAGGGTAATTGTCACAGTTTTCTCTTTCTTCACTGAGACCAGCACCCTAGTGGGAAAGTTGAAATGGAATTAATTCCAGAACAGACTCTTCTTAGAAAGTCATCCTTCTCACTCCTAATATGAACTGTCATTCCTCCCAGTATGATCCCACTAGTTTTCTAAAACCTTTTCCGTGTTTTTTTTTTCTTTTCACAAAATGCTGTTTTAACTCCCAGCTCTGAAGTTCTGTCAATATATATTTGCTTAAACAGATACTTGTGGGAAACTATTACTCCTAGGATATAATCATAGCGTTACTGAGCATAACCAACACAGAGTCAGCCGTGGATTTCAGTTGATGGACTCACTCACTTACCCAACATGTGTTTATTGAGAACTTACTATATGCTAGGCACGAGGCTAGCACTGAAATACTTGGTGACCAAAAC